GGCAGTTGTCCTGCCTCAGGCTCTCAAGCACTTGGGACCACAGATACACACTCGTCTAATTTTTTGTTTTGTTTTTTTGTAGAGACAGGTTTTGCTATGTTGCCTAGGTTGGTCTTGAACTCCTGGGCTCAAGCAGTTCTCCCACCTTGGCCTCCCAAAGTGCTGGGATTACAGGTGTGAGCCACCACACCTGGCCAAGAACTTTTTCCCTTTTTAAAAACCTTTTTGACTGGGCTCAGTGGCTCAGCCTGTAATCCCAGCACTTTGGGAGACTGTGGCTAGTGGATTGCCTGAGCCCGCGGGTTCGAGACCCACCCGGGCAACTTGGCGAGACCTAATCTCTACAATAATTAATCAAAAATTAGCTGGGCATGGTAACGTGCACCTGTAGTTCTGGCTACTTGGAAGGCTGAGGCGGAAGGACCGCCGGAGCCCAGCAGGTTGAGGCTGTGGTGGCTGGGAGCATGCCACTGCACTCCAGTCTGGGCGATAGTGAGACTCCAACTTAACAAAAAAATCCTCTTTTATTGTAACTTTGTTTTCTACTTCAATTTTTATCATTTAAGAACAAATACTTTTATATTTATTCTGATTAATTTTTGGCTGTTGAATAATTTAGAATGTGTGTATACATTTCTAAATATTTGAGAATTTTAAATTTATCTTATTAATAACTTCCAATTTAATTGCATTTGTCTGTATGATACTGACTCTTTGAAATTTTTTCAGGTTTCTTAATGCCTGGAATCTAGTTATTTTGTTGCCAGAAGATCTTTTAAAGTGTCAGGTCAATTGTATGCTGAGAACAGAAGTTCTGATCATATTCTTTTCCTTTTTGTGTGTTGGAGTCTCACTCTGTCTCCCAGGCTGGAGTGCAGTGGCACGCTCATGGCCACTGCAGCCTCGACCTGCTGGGCTCAGACAGTCCTTCCGCCTTAGCCTTCCAAGTAGCTGGAACTACAGGCCCAGCTAATTTTTTGTTTTATTGTAGAGACAAGGTCTTGCCAATTTGCCTAGGCTGGTCTCAAACCCACAAGCTCAGGCATCCTTTCACCTCTGCCTCTCAAAGTGCTGGGATTACAAGTGTAAGCCACCATGCCTGACTGATCATATTCTGAATGCTCAACTCTCTCTCTGAATGTCTAAATCTTATTACACCTGCCAATAAAACAAAACAAACAAACAAAAGAATTATAAGGGTGAATTGAAGACAATTTTTTTTGACGTTTGAAACTGTAGAAATTTAGTAAATGGTAGTATTTTAAACAAGGCGGGTCAGTATATTATTTTATTTTGTCTCTTTTTGTCTTTTCTGAGTTGGAGTCTCACTCTATTGCCCAGGCTGGAGTGCAGTAGCATGCTTATGGCCACCACAGCTTCAACCTGCTGGGTTCAGGCTATCCTTCTGCCTCAGCCTCCCAAAGTAGGTGGAACTACAGGCATCACCACCATGCTGGCTAAATTTTTTATTTATTGTAGAGACAAGGTCTTGATAAGTCGCCCAGGCTGGTCTTGAACTCGTCTGGGCTCAGGCGATTCTCTAGCCTCCACCTCCCAGCGTGCTGGGATTATGGGCATGAGCCACTGCACCTGGCCAGTATATTATTCTCAAAGTCTTATGTTTTTAAATAGACATTTTTATGCATATTTGCATTTTAGAGTCAATTGTAGTCATTGCATAGGAGCTTTGAGTTTGGTGAATCTGAATTCAAATCCTGCCTCTTACAGTTACTTGTCAAGTTATGTGTCCTTGGGCAAGTTACTTAGCTTCCCGAAATTGTCTTTTTAAAAGCTGTAATTAGAAATAGTAATGATAAATACTTCATTGTGTTGTGTGGATAAAATAGATGTAAAGTATTGACAAAGATTATTCAATAAATGTTATCTATTATTATTATTACTACCACTGTAGGATAGAAGTTTGGTTAATGCTGTTTCAGTTAGGTAAATGATTTATTTACTTTGCAATTTTACTTCACTTATTAAAAATGATTTATATCAATAAAGTAACTTGATAAACATGTAAAGTGTGACTTGAGCTAACTTTTTATAGAAATTGTGCCTTTTACTTTGAAATAAATTTCATAGCCATTCCGTATTTTAAGAAGTATATTACAAGCTGGGCTCAGTGGCTCAGCCTGTAATCCCGTGCTTTGGGAGGCTGAGGTGAGTGAATTGCCTGAGCCCGCGGGATCGAGACCTGCCTGGGCAGCGAGACTTCATCTCTACAATAAATCAAAAAATCAACCGGGCGTGGTAGCGCGCGCCTGTAATTCCGGCTACTCGGAAGGCTGAGGCAGAAGAATTGCTGGAACCCAGCAGGTCGACACTGGGGTGGCCATGAGCATGCCACTACACTCTAGCCTGGGTGACAGAGTGAGACTCCAACTCAAAAAAAAAAAAAGTATATTACAGATTTAATTTTACATAATGAAATATAAGTATTAAGTGTTTTTTTTAGCTAAATATTTTTTGAGTCTCACAGTCACAGTCATTTTTTTGTTTTTTAAGTTGGAGTCTCACTCTGTTGCCCAGGCTGGAGTGTAGTGGCACGCTCATGGCCACCCCAGTGTCGACCTGCTGGGTTCCGGCAATCCTTCTGCCTCAGCCTTCCAAGTAGCTGGAACTACAGGTGCACATTACCACACACAGCTAATTTTTTTTTTTTTTTAATTGTAGAGACAAGGTCTCGCCAAGTTGCTCAGCTAGTCTCAAACCCACAGGCTCTGGCAATTCATTAGTCTCGGCCTCCCAAGGTGCTGGGATTACAGGCTGAGCTACCAAGCCTGGCCACAGTCATTTTAGAGAGTAAGCATTGGTATTTCTAATTCAAAATATGTGCTATATGAAGAACTAGTAGTGTTTAATAGTCATTTGTGGAATAAATATTTCACTCACACTATATTTAATAGAATATTATTCATGTGTGCTTGGTTTAATTTTAATAGCTGATCCCTCCTCCCTCCCCTCAGGTTCAGGCTTCAGCGATCCTCTCATGGGAGCATCATCTGAGTACTTACAAAGACTTTCCAAAATGGCCATATTGGAGTATAATACCATCCAGCAGGAAACAAGGAAATCAAAAAAAGGCAAAAAAACAAAATCTACGAGACTGCTGACAAATATTATATAGTATGATACTTTCTTCATTGACTCTGAAGGTTCATGCATACATATTTTCTTTTTTTGATATGTGATATGATACACAATGATTTACATAAAAATGGAAATGTAAATAAAAATAAATATTTTATGTTATCTATGGAATCAATAAAATAAAAATAAATATTTTATGTTATCGATGGAATCAATTGTATTTTGTTAACATTACAAAGACATTTGAATTATGGTTTATGGGAACATGAGCATAAAAGAAATTATATTTCACGAATTTCATATACATTGATTATGTCCTTGGATTCAATTTGCTATATATTTTAAATTTCTATTTATTTTTATTTAAAAGATGTGGGGTACAATTTAGGGTTAGGTATCAAATGTTCATGATACAAGTACCTTCGTTGATGAGGTGTGCCCCCACCTCCCCTGGCAAATTCCCACTGCTGCCAATCCCACCTCCCCTGACCCCCAATAAATATTTTTGCGTGACTACTGTATCTTGTGCAAAGAACTTTGTAACTTACTATGGAAGATTCAAGGAAGAGGGAGTCCTTATTGTTGAGGTTAGGAGACGGAGTCAATAAGAACATTCTTTATCCCTGCTAGTTTGGAAACAGCTGTGAGATAAGTATTCAAGCAGATGAAGATAAAAATATTCGCTTAGTTTGCTGATAAAACATGGATAAGAAACCCTGCGTTGGATGTGTGGCGAGACTGGGTTCAATACTGAACCTCAGAATCTGGCAAATGTACACATGCAGGAGTCTTGACAACCTGGCTTGCCTGCCACACCAGGGCCTTTACAGCCAAGCAGAACAGGGCCTCTTCACTGTACGTATGGACAGATGCCTGAAGGGAAAAGGGAGTGGGGAGAGACTCCCTCTGTCTCCATGGGGAGGAGGAGGAACGTCTAGGTCAAGAGAAAAACCCCCTCCTTAAGAAGGCTTGAGGAGTGGGGAGAAGTGTGTGCCTCCATACCCTCCTGAGAAATGAGGAGAAATCAAGGTTGGTTGATTGGTATCCTGAGGAGAGGGGGCTACAGGGCAAGAGAACCACAGAGTATTGCAGAGTTTCAGAACGGGGCAGTAACATCCAGCAGGGTGGTCAGAGAAAGCTTCTTAAAAGATGTGGTGTTTTGGGGGTGGGAAAACACCTCTTAACAGGGTGCCTGAATGAAACGTAATTGTATACCTAACCCTTAACTGTACCCCACAAAACCATAATTAAAAATATTGATTCATAAAAAAGATGTGGTGTTTGAAATGGGCCTGAACAACAGAAAAGAAGGAAGGAGAGGGCATTTCTAGAAAGAGGTTAAAGCAAGTAAAGACATATTATGCATTCAGGATTGACGCACATGGCTGGAGCGCTAGGTAGCATAGAGCAAGCATCATAAATTCACATGCCTGCACTTACCAAGCTGTCACCAGCTTGAGTGACACTAGTTGGGTGAAGGCTGTGGTGAACTGGGACTGCTGAGCTCCCAATCTTTGTGCCATGTAGGCCCGAAGTTGCCAGACATCGCAACTTTTCATGAGAAGCCAGAATCTGGATTTTTAGGTGAAATCTTCTAATGTATAAATGTTAGCAACCAATTTGAAATAAGGAACTCATTCAAAATTTGTAAAGCAATTGTGTGGGCCAAAGGAAATTGCATGTGCAAGCTAGACCTGGCTTTGTGAGGTCATTCCTGGACAACTCCAGGGACAAAGACATAGATGACAATAGGGCTCAAAAGATAATTTGATAATATATGGTAGAGAGCCTCAGTTGCCAAGCATGAATTTATATTTAATCTGTTTCCCACGGGAGATGTTTGAGAACAACCATAAATTGCTACTTCTGTGATTTAGAAAGATCCATCCAAGTATAATTTGTAGGCTAGATTGTAAATGTGAAGACACTGAAGGCTGGGAAACCAGTTGGGAGGTTATTATAGAAATGAAGGTAAGATGAATAGAAGCGGGAATGGGAAGGAGGAACCTTCTTTTTTTCTGAGTTGGAGTCTCACTCGGTCACCCAGGCTGGAGGGCAGTGGCTGCTCCCGGCCACCGCAGCCTCGACCTGCTGGGCTCCGGCAATCCTTCTGCTCAGCCTTCCAAGTAGCCGGAATTATAGGCATGTGCTACCACGCCTGGCTGATTTTTTTATTTATTGTAGAGATGAGGTCTTGCTGCCCAGGCGAGTCTCGAACCCGCGGGCTCAGGCAATCCACTCACCTCAACCTCCCAAAGGTGTGGGATTACAGGTTGAGCCACCGAGCACAGCCTAGGAGGAATCTTCTTAATGAGGATATCAAGGCAGGTGACTTAAGATCAACTGTTTAGCTCTAGGAAAGGAAGAATCAAAACTAGCTCAGATTTCTGATTTTAGAGATAAGAATCTCAGGAGGAGATCTAGCATAAGAGGATAAAAGCAATTTGGGGTATATTCAGTTCAAGGTGCCATCAGGATGTCCACACAGAGATGCCAAATAGGTATTTGAAAAGCAAGTCTGTGGTGGTAGAAAAAGGTACTGACTAGAGTTAGAATTTTGAGGAACTGTTATGTAGCAAAGACCAAGTTTTCTTCTCATAAAAAAGTAGAGAGAAGAGAGCCCAAATTCATAAGGGATGGGAGGAAACAGGAAGAAGACAAAAGAAAAAGACTGAAGAAGAAGAGAAATTAGGAGGAGGAAGGAGAAGCTAGAAGAAAGAAAAGGGGAGAAGGGAGAAGAAAGAAAGAGGAGGAAGAGGAAGGAGAAGGAAGGGAGAGGAGGAAGAGGAACAAAAGGTGAAAAGGGAATGAGGAGGAGAAGGAGGAGAAACCTACAGATATTAGAGCATAAACATGTTCCATATCCTTGTATGCTATACCTGGTCTGACAATTAAGTTTGTGAACTTGCCACCATGTGCTTACATTGGCAGCACTGTGCAAACAACTTGGTAAGGTTTCATAACCTTGGCATTTGAGTGTCTCACAGCTGTGTTCATGTTGATAGGTGGTAGTGTCTTACTGAGTGGCATTCATTATTGTTGCATGTGTTTATTTCTTGTTAAATTTGGCAAGAGTGGAAGTGAAATCAGGGACATGTTAGTCCAAGTATATGAGGATAATGCCATGAAGAAAACGGCAGTGTACAAATTGATTAAATGTTTTTCTGAGGGGAGAGAAAGCATCACTGATGAAGAGGTCAAGACGGCCAGTAACAAGATAATTGACAAAAACATTGCAAAACTTCATTGAATTGTGCATTGAAATCGTCAGTTGACTATGAGAAGCATAGCAGAGGAAATAAACATTGATAGAGAAACAGGAAAATCTTGACTGAAAATCTTGGCATGAGAAAGGTGCGTGCAAAAATGGTCCTGAAGGAGCTCTTGCATTACAACAATTCACCCACTCACAGAACAACTGTCTCTGAGGGAGTTTTTAGCCAGTAAACAAATAACTGTATTGGGACATTCTTCCACACACCTGATCTGGCCCCAGTGACTTTTTTCTTTACCCAAAGTTAAAGAAAATGTTGAAAGGAAGACATTTTGATGACATTCAGGACATCAATAGTAATTATGACAACAGCTCTGATGGCCATTCCAGAAAAAGAGTTCCAAAATTACTTTGATGGGTGGGCTAGTTGCTGGCATTGGGGCATAGCTTCCCAAGGGGAGTACTTCAAATGTGACCATAGCGATATTCAGTAATGAGGTATGTAGCACTCTTTACTAGGATGAGTTCATGAACTTAATTGTCAGACCATAATATTCATTTATATGTATATGCTGCTGATATATGTGCGTTTGCATGCATTATGATGCATTAATTCCTAGGGAGGGATAACTAAATAAACTTAAGTGGCTATGTTTGTGCTTATATCTGAATTTTGATTAAGAATGATTTAGAAATTACCTGTATCTTTTCTATTTTCTAATCACCTCCTCCAAGTGTGGTCAATGATGTAAGAAATGGGAAGCAGGATAAAATTACTCTCAAACAAAATTTGGTGAACTCTTGTTCAGATGAGTACTTTTATGATTATCAGATGGATTTCATTTATTGAACTTCTATAAACTCTAAATATTTAACATTACTTGTAAACCTTACAAAAACCCTGAGAAACAAGTGAGTGATATTATTCCTGCTTTATAAATTATAGTGATATTATTCCTGCTTTATAAAGTAATATTACTTTATAATATTACAATTAAGTGATATTATTCCTGCTTTATAAAGTAAATCTGGGGTCTTTGTTCTATACTAGGTCTCTAGCCAGAAAGTAAGAGAATTAGGACTTTAAGCTACTAGGGTTTAAAGCTTATACACATAAACTCCATGGAATGGTAATTTAAATAACCTTAAACTTAGCTGATACATGTAAGCATGGCTTCACCACTTAAAATCTAGGGCAAGATAATACTTTCACAGACAAAAATATCTCTCAGTATTAAGTTGAGTTTCTGAGTTGTGACACTAACACAGCTTGCAGCATTTATACTGGTAGAGTGGAAGACTGGGATCATGTATAAATAATTATGTCTCCCCCACCTCCTCCTGCCAATCTTCCCATGAAATAGTTCAACTCAAGTCAATTCAAGAAAGGAGTGGCCTGTTTATGGAATGTTTATTTCTTTCTAATAACTGAGATATGCTGACAATAATAACTAATCACCTGTTTAGACTTGATTGAATTTAATTTATGCTTTTCATTAAATCACACACACACACAGGTTCTACTTTCTTACATCACATTTATTCTTTTTGTTCCTCATGAAGTTTTTAGAAAAACCAGTATGTATTTCACACACAGAAGTCTCAAATCACCCCTAAGTAAGATAAGTTCAAGGTTTAGAGAGAAGAATGAGGTGCCACCTACTGATATTGCAGTTACTGAGGATGTTAAACTTATGTTTGGGATTGAACACAATCTTGCCAGACATGACTCTTTTGCATTTGTGATTCAGAAGTTCCTCCAGTATAAGCAACATAGATCATAACCTTGGGAAACTGTACCTTATGATAAATATTTAGGATAG